AATGAAAAAATTCAACTGGGTCTCAAAGCGAATCTTCAAAGTGAAAAAAAATGAGCATATAAAGGTTACATGTTAGATTCTTAAGTAGTGAGTCTTGTAACTACATGGAAAAATCAGATACAAGCTACTTTGGACAAGACTACCAGTGTACAAACTGAAAACCAAAATTATAACTGGCATGCGGGTATTCATAAACTGGGACGAGACTCAGAGAATCAACCTGGAGAGAGGAATCAAAACTGAATTTATTTGTCAACAAAGTTTATTGTCTTAAAGAAGGAATAAGCAGAGTGCCAAGTAAGAAACTGCTGGAAATGACCTATACACAGAAGAAAAATATCCACCATGGGAACCACTACAAATCCTAATGCTTTCAAGAGGCCCCAACAATTAGAAGTAACCTGGTACCCATGGGAATTTCAGGCTACATTCTTGTGAATTTATTTTGAGAATTGCCAGATTGCTTTAGGGAGTTTGTTTTCTTCCCCTCTTGAATACATATGCAACTAAATTTGTGTTTGCATCTCTAGGGAAAAAAAAAATAAAAGGACTTGCAGAATTTGCTGAGCATCAGCAGTTCCTTGAAGATGATGGCAGGTGGCAAATATTTAGCATTTTTGAGGATTAGGAGTTGCAATACAGATTTTTTATTTTCTCTCCAGGTTTACAAAAATCTTGGACAATGTCCTGCCAACAGAGACAATACTTCTCAAACAAAAGGAAAAGGCATTTATGGCAGGAAAAGAAATGCCATAAGTTTTGTTGTTGTTCTGTGGGTTTTTAAAAATTTATTCTGACTCTAGCCTACAAGGGGAGAGGGAATGGAAAACCTGCTGTAAAGTGTGCAGTATAAGAAAACACTAAAAGAAGTCCAGTCCTTAAAGTCTGGAAGTATAGAGATCATCATGGAGAAAATTTCACACTTTACATTTAGTGACACAGATGCTTTGTCTGTGGTATACATAGAAAAGATAACTCCTTTTCCCCTCAGGTATATCTTACTGCTTTGGAAACACATCCCTTTCACCCCACTCTGACTTGGATCACCAACTTCAATCAATTTTCAAATGATTACACCTAGTCCAGGCAACACTAACTCAAGCTCAGTGTCTCGGCAGCAGCTTGCAAACAGTTTTTACTGCCTCTAAAAGTAAGACTAAACTCCCAGATAGGAAGGCTGAGCCTTGCTCGCCTTAACACAGCCCACTGGCACGGGAAGGGAGGAGCACAGCACCTGGAGCATGGGTGTGGCAGTGGGGACTGCATGCCTCTGCAAGGATAACAGAGAGACAAGGGCATCAAACACGATCCAAATGCAACGTCCTTATTGAGATTACAAAGCTTCATTACACTGACAACCTGAGACTCAGCCTATTTCATGGGTATTCCATGGTGCCCTGACACATAGCAAGGCTGTCGCTCAGCTCTGAAACCTTGCACTCTACCCCTCCTCCCCCTGTTCTCCGACCCCCTCCTGTGGAAATTCAAGGATACTTCAGCTGCAGAATATTTTTTTTTTTTTTCCCTCAGAGGGTTAATCACTACAGAATGACAGAACATTCTGAGTTGGAAGGGACACGAAAGGATCATCGATGCCAACTGCTAAGCGAACGGCCCACAGAGATCAAACCCACAGCTTTGGCATTATTAGCACCATGCTCTAACCAACTGAGCTTATCTCAGAGAACTGAAAGAGAATAAACTCCACCCCAAGACACGAAGAGTCCCAAAAGAAGGCAAGCTGCACACCCTTCTCCCCCAACCATCCCTCCTCCACTGGGCAGGCACAAAGAGTACCTAAGCTATGCCAGGAAAGGGCTACGTGCAAAAGTAAGCCTGCCTGCTCTGCAGGAAGACTCAAGGGCAGCTTACATCCCCCTACCCTAAGGAAGCATGGCAGGTGGCTGTCAAAGCAGGCAGGTCCATCATACAGCTCTTGCCAAGACTTACTGTGTTTAACCACGGCCAGCAGCTGACAGGGAGGACAGCACGGCTGAAATCTTCAAACACCTAGGAGCTCATAGGATCTTGCAGCCTGCAAGCCTCTAATAATTTTTTTCCTCTTTTTTTTTTTTTTCCAGTTCTGAAGGCATGTGACCGGCCCTCACATACCAAAGTTGACCCCTCCCAAAGCCAGCAATTTCCTAAGAGTGAAGAAGGATGTTACCCTCCCGCTTATTCATTACGTGGCCAGGCCATTACTTGTCCTTATGCATCAAAACCTCACTCCCTGTGTGAGGTACGCTCTGGAAACCTCTGGACAGGTGCAGAAGGTGCTATGGTGCTCAGCTACCTGTTAACAGGAGGGCATGGCCACGGGAACCCCAGCTCCTCTTTTCCCAACTGGCACACGGCTTTCAATCTCCAGGTAAAAAACCACTAGCTCTTTGCACTCAAGTCGACCATCCCCTTCTGCTCTGGGCCAGGAAGAACTGCATGTGTTTCACACTGCTTCACACTGCACCCCCATTAACTAGCAATGGTACTTGGAAGCATGCTCCCTCCCCAATCACTTTTTGTATCACCGAAATACTATGGCACAAGGCACAGCTGAGATTTTGGTTTCGGTTTTTGCTCCCTCGGGTTGGCAGTACCGTTTCCGAAAAAGAGGACGGGTCTCATGCTCCTTGCTGTCCCGCACTGCCACACTACCCTGCTCTGCTCCCATATCCCCCGCACCGAAATCCCCCCGCTTCCCTTTGCACTTGCCAGTATCCACATGCCGAGCCCCTACAGCAACCCCCACCCATCTGGGCGGGACTTCTCCCGCCGCTCTCCTCCGGTGGGGGGCGGTGGGAGGGGGGAGGCCCGGCCGGGGGAAGCGCACGGAGCGCTTCGGCGGCACCGCGCGGGGCCGGGCACGGCGGGGCGGAGGGCTTACCTCCCCCCAGCCTCCTCCTCCGGGACGGCTGGACCACTGCGGAGGGTGCTCCAACAGGCGCTAGGCGTGAGGAATTGCAGCCCCAAGCACAACCGCGGGCTCACGGCACCGTAGGAAACGAGAGCTTCAGCAGCAGGCACAGAGGTGCATACACGCATCGCACAGGCAGACTCAGGTAAACCTAAGTCTCGGATTGCTTCAGACAACACAACCGCGCGTTCAAACTCCCTGAGACGCCAGGGCTCAGGAGGCTATTTCTGGTTCACCTGAGCATCACTATGACACACCACCTTGACCCCTGTGCGATAAACCTCCCGCCGCCCCCAGCAAGCACACACTGCTTCTCACCCATGCGCTCTTAACACTTGTGATTCCCCACTGGCTCCAACAAAGTAGTACTCACGACCTGTCAAGTCACCACACAACATACACGCCTGGTGCAAAACAACATGATATTGGAATACCGGAGGAGGAAGGGTGGTGTTAGCTGTAAGATTATTGTTGGGAGGATTACTGTTGGGCATACTCGTGGCTAGCTATCCTGCCGTAGTGACATTCTCTACTGGCACCTACCATAGGTGAGCCCTTAAGACTTATCCCTAAACAAACCAGGAACACTCTTTTTTTTCCAATTAAGTGAGGAAAAAAGTATTTAAACATCTACTGCTAGTTTATCAGTATGGCTGCAAATCTAAACTAAAATTAATTCAAAGTGAAATCCACACTAGGCAGGCACCTGATGTGACTCATCTAAGCACATCTTGTCTTTGTCATAATTTTTGTTCTGATGAACCAATGTAGGCCTTGCTTGACAGTATCTTTTAAATACTAGATGCTGCAACTACAGGGTAACAGAATCAGGATCTGAATGTGCTGCTTGTTGTCCTCTGTCCAGTTTTATGTCAGCCTTTGGTTTTGCTGTAAGTAAGGAGCTTCAAGTCTCAGGACTGACCTCAGTTTCTGACTCCATACAGGTTATTGCAGATTAGCAGTCACTTATTGCCTATTGGCATGCACCACGCATGCACAAGATTTAAACACCTGTTTAACAGTATGATTGAGGAAAAAATATTTTAAACTCTAATGTCCTTCTGCCTGCTGTTTTAAGAGCAAAATGTACCTTAATGCATAGTTAGCAAAACTACTTCTGCTCAAAGGACTTCTTTCATTTCAGCACAGAAGAAATAAAACACATAAAAGATCTCCCACCTTTACTCCTAGGAAAGCCCTAACTAGACTAGTCCCATCTAAGGGAATAGTCCTAGGACTGTTAGATAACATCCTGTCCCTGGAAGATGAAGACCAGAGGCATCTTTCTCACTCACAAGGTCCTTCACCAATCTGTGTGTTGCACCCTCACCACTCTGCTTTTAATTCAACCTCCCATTTTGTCTGTGTCTGCCTTTCAGTGTCCCCACTCTCTTTGACAGCACACTATAAGAAAAGTTTGCACATAGAGTGATATTCTACAATTGTGCAGTATTTTTTGACCACTCAGCCTAGTTTTGGCTTCTTACATGACTCTTTCTTTTAATAACTTCTCCTTTTACCAAAACAGAAATTATTAACAATTTTGCAATGCTCGCTTGTCTTCCAGTAAGTGCACAAACAAAAGAAGCAGCTAACCTATGAATGTGGCGGGAGCAAAATCTCATCCTAGCAGAAGTAATGTTCTAAACTCCCACTGGCCTCAAGAGAGGAAATACTGTGCCCAAAGACACATCTTTAACATCCAGATCACAAACTGCATTTGGATCTCATTTGTGTACACAAAGTGTTACTGCTCCTAAAGTTGCTGCCAATAAATTCAGGTAGGAACTGTAGCTGAACAAGGTTCCAATAACTAACTCCTCCAGAGACAGGTCCCAGAGATGTGATAATACCTTTTATCAACACATCAGCATTGCCTAATAAACCTTCATAATGTAAATTGTCACTCTTCTTATGAATGGCAGGTTTGGATGGATCATTTCTCTCCTGCAGTCACCCTGGAAATTATTCTGTGTAGAAAATTAGAAGTGTTAAAAGAGGCAAAACTACACTCTGTGACAGTACACTGAAGTAAAGAGAGGTTGGGAAAAATCAGCAGGCACACAGAAAGCTCACCCACTACTTTTACCTTTCCAGACGAGGGACTTCTGTGATGTCTCCTTTGAAGAGTGTTTCGCTTACATCCCTTAAGCCATTGGCGATGCCTTCACCACATCCCTTCACCTCCCTGTCAGGGACATCTGTCTGCCCCACGGCTGATGTCCTATCTAAAAACTGTCCACCCTCCTTCATGCGCTGCTGGATCATGGGAGTGAGTGGCATCTCAAAGCTGAAGTAGCTATCGGGCTCCGAGTACAATGTCTCCAGAGATTCCGCACTGTAGTACAAAGATGCATTGTCTAGGATGTTTTCAAACTGTGAGCTGTACAGATCAGTGGAGACGTCAGAGTGCCTCTGCCCAAGGAAATCTTCATATCCTCCTGTGGCGGCTTCCCCCTCCTCCACCATCCTGAAAATTAACCAGAAACACTTCATTTCAGTTTGGGGGCAAGGTTGAGACTTTGGGCAACCCTTCTCACCTTCCACCTTTCTGAGCAGAAAGGTCAATGCAGCTTTATGCAAGAGAGGACACCACAGGTAAAATGCTGGTTCCTCCTTGCACTACGTCTCTTTATGACTGGCATCATCTCCCTCTCCAGGGACATAGAAAGAAACAATTTTCTGGGTAAAAGAAGATGGCTGGGAGACAATATCCTAATATTGTCTAACAGATCAGCTGCTTACAAGCAAAAGAGAAAAGCACACACAACGTGTGAGATCTGTCGTAGCACCACTGCCAAGCCAGAGGCTGCACATCTTGGAGATGTGTATGCAGATGGAGCCTCTACCCCCGAAGGATAATTTGCTATCTCTGCAGTCCTAGGACTGGAGTCTTCAGCAAAAAGCTGAAGGAAATCGCTCCCAAATGCAAAGGGAAGCATGTGCAATTTTTTAATTGGAGCCTGAGGAGCCAGACTGAGAAGACTCAGCCTGCTTGCTAATGCAAGGAGAGGTATGCCATCCCCCTGAAGAGTTTTCTTCTCTGCTGCACACAATACTGTGGGGCTCCTCAACATGCCAGAGGTTAGGGTAGCCAACCCAAGTAATTCCAGGCACTAGCCAAAGCAAAACTCCACAGATACAGAGGTGCAGAGGCAGGAAAGCCTCCCTTGTAGAGATGCTGTCTCAGCAGCACACAACTCTCCAGCTCAAAGTGGGCATGGTTTGCTCAGAGCACACCAGTGGAACCCTTTGTTTTGTCAGAGATGTCCATCAGGAAAGAAAAACAAGCAAATCAGGATGCAAAGCAGCATGCCATTCTTGCAGTATGTACTGCTAAAATGATATAAACAGATAGATAGATAGATAGATAGATAGATAGATAGATAGATAGATAGATGATTGATAGATAGATAGATAGATAGACAATATAGAAAGCACATACTGTAACATTTATCCTCCTATGATCTACATGGCCCTGGATAAAATGTCTTTATTATCCAACCATTCAGAGGTTGTCACACTGTTTTTGCACAAACTCTGAATGAAACCAGAAAATCTGTTCAGGTGCGTATGGCCAGGCTTGCATGCCAACTGTATTTAATTACATGGCATGTCCAGATCCCAATTACACCTGCTACAGATGCTTCATCACACCGACATCACTGTGCAAACAGCAAGACTTCTGATCTTTACATTTCAAAATCTGAGATGGACTGTAAACTTCAGTAAGATGGTGTGAAGTGGCTTCAGTACCAACTTCAGGCACTAGCCAACCACCAGCTGTGTAAACCAGTACTGTAAACACCACACCACAGGCAGCAGACAAATATTTGCTGCTTCTTATTAGCTCCTAAACAGGTAGACACAAGCCACACGCCTAGACAAGAGAACCCCTGCCTGACTCCTGCTCCCATCTTAGCACCAGCTCACCTGCCCTGGCCTCTTGCAAGCACAGTCATCTCCTCCTCACCACAGTTCTTCCTGTCCTTCACAGAAACTTCATCCATCCTGCTTTCTTCGAGCAGTGGTAGAGGAGTGGCTCCAGAAGCAGCAGGTTCCAGCCTTGGGTCTTCACAGACCTCATTCCACGCACTGTCTGGCAAGGAAAGCAAGGCTGGGGAGACCATTGGTGACACAGAGTGGCTGGATGTTTTGGCGAATGCCTTCCTCTCCACAGACACAGAGTCCAGCAGTGAGTGCTTCCTTCTTTTCTGCTCCTCAGCTTTTTCCAGCCATAAGATCTCCACACCTTGAAATTCTACATGTTTACTCACAGCTGCCTCTTTAGCAAGCCTTCTCTCAGTACCTGTTTGCATTTTGCCTTGATTGTGCTCTGAAAACTCCTCAAAACGTGTCCCCCTCTCCACTCTGCTAACTGCTTCCAGGTTTGTCACAGATGACTTGTGACAGCTTGGTTCCTGAGCTGTGTGGACCTCCTCTGCTTTATTACTTACGGCTTGTGAGGATTCAGACTGTTTTTCTCCAGCCCGTACTGAAGCCAGATCTTTCTCTACGATCAAATACTTTTTTTCCTCAGCTGTTCGTTCAGATGGAAGAAGCATGTCTGAGAGTTTTTCTTGGCCTGTTGGAACTGGTTCTCTGGCTGCCTGCACATTTTGGCTGCCAGTAACACACTTTTTTTCCATTTGCGTCTCTGAATCGAGAGAAGTATTTGCTCTTTCTTGCACCTTTGCTGCTTCTAGCTGTCGAGAGATTTTCATAATCTCTGGCAGATTACCCGCGGGTTGCAAACCTTCTTCGGGGGTGTGAAGCTGCACTGCCCCTGCATCAGGCCTCAAATTATGAGCAGGAGCTGCGCACTGAGGAATAGGCCTGACACGGTGGTGACTGTCCCGTCTTTCTGGACTGTGTGTTACAGGCTCGGCCTGGCACGTCGATAGAGCTGATGGAGCTTGTCTGCTCGACTCTACAGTGCCATACTCTGGAAATTCATTGATGATGGTATGAGGAGGCAAACTGCTGCTTCCACGGCCACTACCTACAAAGTAAAAGGAGAGACACCCTGGATTTATCTACTGCACGCACAAAGCAAAAAGTTTGATCTCTCTCCCTGCCCGCTCCTTACAGAGCAAAAACGCTCTCCCCTGAAGGGAAAAAAATACTTCAGTTTAACTCACTTCTGCTCTCATACTACAGTTATCCAAAGCTGGTCCTTTTACATAGGAGATTTTGGGCGGCCCTACTTTGGGAGTCTGCACTACAGAGGAAGGAATGCCAGAAATGTCTGCTACACTTCAGAAAAGGTCCCGATGGCACGTGAACAGTCTGAGGCCTCAGGCCAGGCCACAGGCCAGGCGCGTAGGCCTAAGAAAGCAGAGATTCAGATGTCTGACATTCATCCACAGCATACACCACCCATGATGGTTTTACTTAAAAAAGACACTACAAATGATGGTTCTACGTTTTCAGGTAATTTGCACTTGTAAAGGTGAAACGCTGGGAAGATAATCAGCCACACCCCGTATGTTCTACAGCCTTGACAAAACTAATTAGCTAAATTAGAAAGTAATTAATGAGCAATTAAACTTTCTGCCAGCACTACCCTCTTCCTTTAACAACTCAGGTAGCTGAAGGTCATGTTGCAGTGTTGGATACATACCAAGCAATGCACATTTTCTACTGCAGCAAATACACTGCTGCAGAAAAACATTGCCACCCCTCCCTTCCTTGTGCTTTTCCAACGACGTAAACAAAGCAGGAGCAAAAATGGGTGGTCCTATTTTCCAAGCGCCAAGCACCCAGTGGCTCCCATTGTTTCGAGGTAACAGAGAACCATCTGTCCGAAGGGACCTCAGGGATCACATAATGACAGATAATTGCCCACCTTATATCACAGCCCAAGGAGGAACTGAGCTCTTGGGGAAAAAAAACCCCAAAACAACAATTAAAAAGCCAACAACCAACAACTGCATTTGTCACACTCCTTTAGGGGAAAAAAAAAAAAAAAAAAAAAAAAAAAAACACCCACCAAAAAAAACCTGGCCTGGAGTATAATAGTGTTTTAAATCAAACTGCAGGGTGGCCAGACCCAAACACCTACTTTGAAAAGTATCGGGGTGACAGCTCTGAAACCAGACACTAACTTGAATTTGAATGGTTTGGTCCCAAGGTGCATCTCCAGGTACTGCACTGCAAACTGATCCCCATCTCTGCTCCAAGCAGGCCGGCCAAGGTCTGTTTCTGAGGCAGAAGCCATGTAGCTGTGGTTAATGATAGGCTGAGTTCAAAGTGAAAGAGAGGATAATCTAACACAAGTTCAGAAGCGCATTAATATGCCTACCTATGTGCCAGTGGCTTGTTAAGGTAAGCAAAAGTATATCCCAGTATATCTAGCCACAGGGAAAATACCACACACTGGGTATCGTGCAAGATTAAAGTGACAGTCTTGGACCCTGCCAAGCCTCAGAATCTTCCCCAATGGGTTCTCCAAACGTCTCCATGCCACTGACTTAATCACTATATAATAAAAATTCAGCTTCATCCAGACGACTTGATTGCTGTTCAGGACAGTGACTAGACAAAGCAGGGACCTTTCCTCTGCCACAAGGTCCCAGGGAGCCGTAAGGAGCAAGGATGCCCTGTCCACAATTGCATCACCAGCCCATCTTCATGGCAAGGTTTCCAAAACACAGGTGTGGGGGCACCCACAGTGCTTTTCCTAAGTGTCTGAAGCAGCAGACAAACAGACCCCTTTGCACACAACTCAGCCACGCAGTGCTTGCATGCATCTCAAGCCCACACTTTTCACAGCACAGGCACTAGGCTGCCACTGTGGGACACTTTCACCAGGACAGACTCACATATGACAGTGATGCTCTGTGGTAACAATGTCCCTACACCTGCACCAGAAAAACCCCAGGCAAGGATCCCCAAGCTGCCTTCTCATCCTGCAATCCTTCTCTGATGCAGAAGCTTTAGTGCTTGCTGCTTTCTCAGCATGGTCTAAGGAGGGATTTCTTAGGAGAGGACTAATAAGGGAGCATTTCACTACAGATGCTAACATAAACCCTTCTTGGTGGACACATCCACCCACAAGCAATGCTTAGTCCCTCAGCACTGTGGGACAGCACTTGGCCAGGCCACAGCCCGGGCCACACTCTGGCTGCACTGCATGAAGAAAGGGAATACATAGTGCCCCAAGAGCTGAGACCCCCCATGCCTCACTCCAACCCACACATCCCGCCTTGTTGGAAGGAAGCCCGTAGCGTCAGCCCCGGCCTCCTGTGGGGCTGGGAGGCAGCCAACATGCTCCAGAGGCCAAGCCCCAAAAAGGCACCACACACAGATCCTGCCAAGGGGCCAGGCTCGTCTCTGCTAATTGCTATCTTAGCTTCTGAACCAACACGAGGAAAACAGAGGGGGCCTTATTTCTCGTGGTGAATGCTAAATGCTCTGCTGCGCATCCCCATCTGCCACCAACAGCCACTGCTGACAGTGGAAAGAAATCTTGAGCAAGTTTCTGATTTATTTCTCCTCCTGAACTTCATAGCAAGCCCATCAGACTCTAGAAGAGGTACACATACAGAGCACATACCACACATGCAGGCACAGAGAGGTGTCCAAAGGGAGAGAGGGTGCTTACATGTACTCCCCTCTGCCACACCTGCAAGCTGTGTTCCATCTCGGCAAGAGTAGCTCTATCACAGTAGAAATGTAAATCTGAAATGTAAATCTTCTGAAATGAGATGTCAGCAGCCGTTCTCTGGACGGACTGCTGCTGATGCTGCCACTGCTGTATACAAGCACAAGTCAGTGGGATTCTTGCCTTCACACAGGAATATTGCTAATTCTCTGATTGAAAAAACTTCCTATATGACATCAAAGCAGTGTTCTGTTGCCATTGTGTTAGGTACTACCATGCACATGACTGCCAAGGTCTCTATTTTGTGAAGTAAATCACGACCAATCTGCCGGTCTCCCAAAATTGCAAAGCCTTTCCCTTTCCTCAGACAGCTATTTCAGGTACAAGAGCTTAGAGGAGCTTGAGCTCTTTAAGGGAAACTCCTCCCTTATTCCCATCCACCACCACAGCATCATGTCTTGCTGCAGCTACTGGCATATCCTGTCTAACCCCATCCCCCAATATGACTGCATTACAAACAAGGATAGAAAGACAACAACAAAATTTAAGGACTGCACTGAAGATGCGCAGGGAAAAAAAATACCCATCACCAAACAAACAAAGGACACACACTTTCAGGTAACACAAATTTCTACTTTGCATTGAAGGTGGCTTCTTTCAACAAATGGAAAAAAAAAGAAAAAAAAAAGAAAGAATAAAAAGAAAGAAATGGATAAGGAAAAAGCTAAAATAGAAAGGGGGTAAGTGACTAGAAAACTGAGACCGGGCAAATATAACCTAACAGCATTTGGCAGCCTTTCTGATGACTAGATGTTGAAAGAATTAATGACTTAAATCAGGCATAGATATGATATTTCATAGGTAAATAACCATTCCATGTCAAGCAAACTTGTCTACAGCATAATAAAAGGAAATTCTAGGAAGCAAAACACAAGTTAAAAGCATAGACAGACATTTTGTTTACAGGTACATTTTAAAAAAGAATGGTGTGAGTGTCTCTCTCGATACAGTATATATATATATATATATATATTATATAGCTCGAGAAATTAGATATATTTGCTTGAACAGTCTCCTTACTCACAGAGGTTACTGTAGCTCCAGCAGTTACCCATTGGTCAAAGAAATAAAATGCAAAGATCATCAGTTTATCTATAGCGGTACCAGCTAATTCAATTGCTGCTGTTCTAGTCAACTGGAATCAAAATAGTTTCAAATTTCCTGGCAGCTGCTGCCCTGCACTGCACACAATGATGTAAATGGATGCTTTCTGAGTATTATGAAACTGATGGGGGAACTGCAGTCTCATTCAGTCTATCGCAGGAGCTAAGGAGTCCACCTTGGCAGCTTGCAGGGGAAAAAAAATTTCCTCCAGCAAGGCTGCCTGACGGCATGCCAGGGATACGTCTGTGCTTAGCTGCCGTTTTTGTAACTGCGTCTGTAAGGGGAGAATCGGGCAGAATGGCGATGCTGAGAGTCATGTGCTGGTTTCGGAATGCAGGATGCTTTATGGCATTTCAGCATTAGTGAGCTGAAAGCATTCACTAAGCAGCCCAGTCATCCTGCATTTTATGTCTCTGCAGCTCCTTGCGCCGATTACAAGTAGCACCTGGGTGAGCTTGCATGCAGCATCTTGTAAGTTACGCTTTCCTGGTATTCTTGCCACCATTTGTAAAAAGCAGATTAGGGCAAGTAAAAAACAATGTATGCATTAAGATGAGGCAAATCTCTAGGTGACAGAGCTTAATTAACAAATCACAAGATTTATGGTATTGTATCGCTACTGCAGCCTGGCAGAGAGGAGGGTTACACACATCTCCTTCTCCTGCACTCCATCATGTTACAATGTCTACAGTAACTAAAACTATTCCAATTGATAAAGCAGCCTGCTCCTGCTGAGATGGAGCAGCCGTCCCCTATAAAAGGGGAGGGATGCTGCAGAGCCTCTGGCAGCCTCATGAAGCAGCCCTTTTTCCAAATGATGTCATTCTCCATGCTGCGCTAGGTCCTGCCTGGCCAGAGTAGCCAAAGCCAGGGGATTAACATAATGCAAACATGGGGCTTTTGTAACTGGACTGCAAACATCTACACCGGACTGGGCGCAGGATTTTCTGCAGCTTGCAGACACTCCAGGCTTTTGGGCAGTTTGCTTGCTCCAAAAAGGAGAAGTGGAGCCAGATCTTCATCCCATCGAAAGTTACAGCAGCATTATGTAAAAACAACAATTGGTTGTTTTGGAACAATTGGTTCCACAACGGCTGGTGGAAATGGAGAAGCTGAGTGAAAAGTGAGAGGCAGAGGGAAGAGGTTGGGGAGAGTTGCCTAGAAATAAATCCTGGTGAAATGCCTCTGTGCCTTAGCAGACATGCAGGGAAAGTAAAGGAGAATAGAGTTAT